CTCATCCAGACCTCTGAAAATTCAGATTGGTTTTCCTACCCCAAAACCACCTCCCAGACACGATTTTACTCAACCCAATGAAAGGAAAATTAATTCAAGCACATTTTTCATCTATTAAAGGGGATGCCTTATTTGAATTGTTGAGATTGTCAAAGAAAGGTTAAATTTGTGCATACATTATTAAAAATCGACATTCTGTAAATGCAAACACTTCACCTGGTGAAATCTATCTGATTTTGGGCACACATCATAAAAAGTCCACATTTTGTAAATGTAAACACTGCCCTGGTGAAATCTATCTGATTTGGTGCATACATTATTAAAAATCGACATCCTGTAAATGCAAACACTTCACCTGGTGAAATCTATCTGATATGGTGCATACATCTTTAAAAATCTACATTTTGTGAATGCAAACACTTCACCTGGTGAAATCTATCCTGGAACAGCTTTAAAAAAAAAATCCTTCTGAAACACAATTATTGAAAGATGAGGCACCACAAAGAGAYCCAAACTGAGAGAAATCCTTAATTAAACTCCCAATTAAGTGCTCAGCACTGAAGKGTTTGGCCACCCCAAAGCCCTGAGAGTGACAGGGATGGCACAGATGCTGGACAGACACACGGACAGCAGAAAATGGGAATGGGATMACAAGGAATGAAGGATTGGCTTACGCAGCGATGGAGATGTTGGCYGCAGACATGGGGCTGACTTCGGCCACTTCCTTGGCTTTCTGCAGGGCCAGCTTCTGGTTGGTGGCTTCCTCCATCTCCTCCTCGTCCTGGGGAGGGAAAATCGGGGGGTCAGTCAGGGGAAAATCGGGGGAAAAATCAGGGGAAAAATCAGGGAATCAATCAGGGAAAAAATCAGTGGAAATATCAGGGAATCAATCAGGGAATCAATCAGGGGGAAAATCGGGGGAAAAATCAGGGAAAAATCAGYGGAAAAATTGGGGAATCAATCAGGGGATCAATCAGGGAACAAATCAGGGACTCAATCAGGGAATCAATCAGTGGAAAAATCAGGGAATCAATCACGGAAAAAATCAGGGGAATAAATCAGTGAATCAATCATGGAACAAATCAGGGGAAAAAATCAGGGAATCAATCACGGAAAAAATCAGTGGAAAGATCAGGGAATCAATCAGGGAATAGATCACAGAATAAATCATAGAATAAATCACAGAATAAATCATGGAATAAATCAGGGAATCAGTCATGGAATAAATCATGGAATAAATAATGGAATCAATCAAGGGAATCAATCAGGGAAAAAATCAGAAAATGAATCAGGGAATCAACCAGGCAATCAATCAGGGAATCAACCATGGAATAAATCAGGGGRAAAATCATGGAATAAATCAGGGGAAAAATCAGAATCAGGGAATAAATTGGGGAAAAATCGAGGAATAAATAATGGAATAAATCAGGAAAAAAATCATGGAATCAGTCAGGGAATCAATTGGGGAGTCAATCAAGGAATCAATCAGGGAACAAAATGAAGGAATAAACTATGGAATAAATCACAGACTGAATCATGGAATAAATCATGGAAAAAACAGGGAATCAATCAGGGAATAAGTCATGGGATAAATCATGGGACAACAGTAACCAGAGCTCCCCAGGGCCCGAGCAGGGCAGGCCCTGTAAAGCCAATATCCCGCTGAAATGCATGAACACATCCCTAAATCCTCCCTGACTTCCTGCCAATGGGATTTTTTCCAAAACAACAACAAAAAACAACGGATTTGTGACTGGTCCTGCTCACTTCACTTTTTCCCCCAGAAATTCCCATCCACCTCAGATCCCTGAGGGCTCAGAGAACAAAAAGGACCCRTATGAAATGCAGTTTGTAGAGTAAAACTCGGTGATGTTGGTGCCTGGTTCATGAGGATTTTTTGAGCTCTGCTGGCACAGAGTGTAACTGGGATTTGTTTCTTCCTGSCCCATATGAAAAGCACCACCAAAATTCAAAATACAGGATTTTAAACACTGAGATGAGGGCAAAACCCAAAGAAACAGCCTGGTTCCCCTTCAAGGATCAACTCCCCTGATGTTTTCTAACCMAAATAAAGTCAGGTCATGGCAGGGCAAGCAAGGGAGCTCTGATGGCAACAGCAGCATCTCACAAATCCCAAGAAAACCACACTGAGAGCAATCCCAGCCTCTCCTGTCAAACTTTATGGGAYCCCCAGGTCTGCCTCTGCCCTCCCAGGGCACTGCTGGAAGGAATCCCAATTAAAATAATGAAATCAGACAGATCTGCAGCTTTGGAAGAGGAAATGACAGAGATYTATCCAGCCTGAACCCCATCTGCATAAACAGCTCCTCGCTCTGACTCGGGTGCTATTTGCTTAAACTGAATTCATTTGGAAACTGTTTTCTTTTTCTCCTTCAAAAGAAGGAAAAAAAAATTAAATTTATTAAAAAGAATYATTACCCTACAAGTTTCTTACTTTTTTTTTTTTTCTCGCTTTGTAAATATTTGCAAGTCTACAAGGAGGCTGGAATGAAAGAGCTGCTGAGCAATTACACAGAGTCAATATTTCCCAGCTGCCAAATTCCAGGAAATTTAGCAAAATTGCAAATCCAAGGGTGTTTGTGGTTTAATCCTGGCAATAACCCAGCCCCAGGTACCTGTGGTGGGTGGGGAGCCAGGGAAGTGCCCATGGATTGGGATGAATTCAGTTTAATTGGGAAAGAAAAAGTCACAGAGGAAAAAGGAAGGAAGGAGCTCCACACTTCCCATCACAGGTTTTGCCACCCCAGGACAGCAGAGTTCTTTCACATGGAATGGGATTGGAAAGGCAAATTTGGTCACTTTGAGTGTCCCTTCCTCCATTTCCCCCAGCTTTTTGTGCTGAGTGGGATRCCAGTGGTCTGGAATATCCCTTGTTCCAGCTGGCTGTCCCCAAATCACTGTGTTCCCAAACCCTTGAGTTTCCAAATCCTTGTGTCCCCAAATTCTTGTGCTCCCAAATCCTTGTGTCCCTAAATCCTTGCGTTCCCAAAAGCTTGTCCCCAAATTCTTGTGTTCCCAAATCCTTACGTTCCCAAATCCGTGTGTCCCCAAACCCTTGTGTCACTACATCTTTGTGCCTCCAAATCATTGTGCCCCACACACAGATTTTCCCCCTGGATTCTCTGCTCAGGAATAACTAAACATCCCAGAGTGGCTTCCACTCAAATCCCTGTTTCTCACAGAAATCCCCATTTCCCACACCAATCCCTATTTCCTACACCAATCCCAGCCAGCCCCACCCAATCAAGCACAAACATTATCCTCAGAAAACAAATTTTAAAAGGATCAAAACCCCAATTAAAAAAACCTTTCAAGTTTTTCCTCTCATCCTTCAGGGGCCATCCCTGACTCGGAATGAGCTCAACCTCCAGCAGATATTTGCTTTACAATATTTCTCATGCCCCTCATGCCTTGTATTCCCAAATCCTTGGATTCCCAAACCCTTGTAGCCCCAAATCCTTGTGATCCCAAATCGTTGGATTTCCAAATCCTTGTGCCCCCAAATCCTTGTGATCCCAAATCCTTGGATTTCCAAATCCTTGTGCCCCCAAATTCCTGCAGCTCCTTCCATGCAGATATTGTGGATGACTACAAAAACTAGTTAATTTTTTGTCTGATTTTTGAACTTTGAAGCTTTGAGCTCCCAAACTTCCAAGCATCCATCAGCTCCAACTGCTGTCCTCRTTTCACAGGGGCAGGTAAAGCTTTTGTCCATGAAGACATCCCTGGTTTATGTTCCTTTTCTCTTTTCTGGAGCTCTAAATCTCCATTTAAACCAATTTCTCACGCGGGAAAAGCCCATTTTTGGTGCCACCCATCATTAACATTGAATATTCTTTAACTCCTCCACCCAATTAAAGCCTTTCCACAGGGGAGCAGGAGGAGGGGGATTTATGGATGTTCCAATTCTTGGTTTGGCCACTYCCTTCAGTCCACAACTTCTGGACATTCCTCATCAATTTTCTACAGATTTAACTTGAATATACCTGRGGGATGAGAGGAAAACCTTAGAATATAAGTTTAAAAAGCTATTTTATCATTATAATTTTATTTTTTAACATTTTATTGATATTTATTTATTTTATTGGTATTAGAAGATATCTTATTGATATTATACCATTTATTTATTTATCTATTCCTTTTAAAACTTGTATTCTGAGGGTAATGTTTGTGATGGATTGGGATGGGGATGGTTAATTTTCTTTACAGGAGCTGATGGGGGCTGGCTGGGATTGGTGTGGAAAACAGGGATTTGAGTGGAAAACAGGGATTTCTGTGAAAAACACGGRTTTCTGTGGAAAACAGAGATTTCTGTAGAAACCACTCCGGGATGTTTTGTTCTTGCCCAGCCAAGGGATTTTCAAGTTATTTCCTCCTCTGAGGAACCTCCACCAACATATTCCTATAAAATCCTCACATCCCTCATAGATGTTTTTATTCTGATTTCTCAGGCAGTGGACAGGGAGCAGAAAACATTTCCTGCTTGAAGATATTTAGGAAAATAAAGCTTCACTTGTGTGGTTTTACACCCCAGTTTAATGAGGGCGAAGAAGGAGCTGCTTGATGTCACCCCAGACATTTGGGATGATCAGCAGGGAGATTTTCAAAGCAATTTTTAAAAGGAAATTTTGGGGTAATTGTAGATTCCACTCTGAATAAAAGGACAGGAGGAAAAATCTGTCGATAGATTGAAAAAAAAAAAAAACCCTAAAGGTTAGGGAACCCAAAGAGATTCAGGATTCTCAGAAATCACTAAAAATTGGGTTGGCAGAGTTTGAGTCAGTGAAGACCAGAACAGGAAGAGCAGGAGGGTGAAAAGCAGAGGCTGCAGAGCAGATTTTTTATAGATTAAAAGCAAAAGCGGTGATTCTTTTATTTTTTCCCCAAAAAAAAATGAGTCATTCCTGAGCACCAGTGAGTTCTGTAAGGGACAGGGGATGATCAAGCTGCAGTTCAATAAAATAACAATTGTGCCAACTTCTCCTCCAGGTCACAAAGCCCAGCTCAGGCAGCGAGAAATGGTCAAAATGCCACGTTAAAAATCCCAAATTAGCACCCAGGAGGGGAAAAGTTGCAATGTTCCAGTGCTGGGGCTGGAAAACTTTTTGTGTTTCCTAAACAGAGGCATTTTGGAATTGCTGGTGGTTTGTCACATTATATTCAGCACTGATCTYAATGAATTTTACAGCACAAATGTCAGGAAATTCTCCTGGGATCAGCTGAGTCCTGAGGAACTTTGTTTTATCTCTGGCCCATTTTTGGGGGGTGTGATCATGTTTGTTCAGGAGGAAATCTCTCATGCTCCTGGTTTTTAATTGAATTGGAACTTTTTTGGAAGACTTTGGGAAGTCCCAGTGAGTTGTT